GTGCAGTTGTGCCAAACTTGCATAATGTACAAGCCCCACCCTGACAAGCCTCCTGGAATATTGAAGCCGCTACCCACCCCAGCCAGACCCTGGGAGGTGATCTCGATGGACTTTATTACTGACCTCCCCCGTAGCAAAGGAAAGATGGTGGTCTGGGTGATCATGGATTTATTCTCTAAGCAGGCACATTTTGTCCCATTCAGCAGCATCCCCACCACCCGCTCTTTGTCCAAGGTGTTCATGCAACACATCGTCAGGCTCCAACCTCCCCCCCCATAAAATAATTTCGGACAGAGGCCCCCAGTTCATTGCCAAGTTTTTGGTGAGAGCTCCTTAAAGCCCTGGGAGTGGAAAGGGCCCTGAGTAGTACCTACCATCTGGAGACAGATGCTTGAATCGAGAGAGTGAATCAAACTTTGGAACTATTCTTACGCTGTTTCACAAACTACCAGCAAGATGACTGGGTGGACCTATTGCCTTTTGCAGAATATTGCTACAACAATTCCCTCCATTTATCCACGGGGGTGTCCCCATTAAAGGCTACCTATGAATACGAGGGGGACCCCCTGCCCTTCCTTGTGGGACATGACATGCGAGAACTTATGTAAGTCATGGCTGTTGGTGGGGAAGAGTCCTGAAGTTGCTAAGCACAAGCGTACAAGAAATGGACTGTGGGGTGGGAGGTGTGCCTGGGTGATTCCGTGTATTTGTCTACAAAGAACGACCTGGTGAAACTCTCTGCCAAATACCACCAGGACCCTGTGGGACTTAATGCAGTTCTGCAGGGCTGTAAGGCAGAGATGTTTCACCAGTCTTTTTGTTGAGGACAGGAACTGTTTCTGTCATGGCTGGCACCCTCCTCTTGTCTTCCATCTTTTTGCTTTTGCCTCCTTCTCACCCTGCCCGTGAGATGGCAGCACAGACTGGAGTGAGTCTAAGACTAAATTAGTGACACCATCTGGGAATTATTTAATAATATACGAAAGACTGAATTATTAATTTTAACAATGTTATGTTGATGTTTTTAACTTCTGTTGTACATTGCTCAGAACCCTGTGCACTCAAGGATTGGGTGATTCATAAATTTAAAGTACATACTTTATATTTAATGTAGTTGTGGGGTCTGGCCTTGGGGATGGCCTGGAAGAAAACTGAATTTTTAATCTCTTATTTCACCTTCAGCACTTATTGAGTCTTAATGTCGTGTCAGTTAAGCAATGGAAGGGCTGAGGGGCACCATTGCTGTGCTGTGCTTAGGGCATCAGGTGGCCTTAATCCAGTCCTGCTTCATGGAGATGCAGGGAAAAGATACACACAATCATTTGTGAAGATTCCACATGTGCATTTTGGTGCAGATACTGATATTTAGCTACCCATGGCTTCCCTACACATGTAAAGCAGAGAAATAAATGTATATATTATCTCCACACCTGATGGTATGATGTCATGTATATGTCTTTCCCAACATGGTATAGTTAAAAGATCTTGTTTGAAGCATCCCAGGTTCCCATGTGTTTCTAGTGTAGATGGTATTGGTCAGATGACTGTTACAATTTGGATGATACAGGTCAGGTACATGTTAAATGTACTTTAATTCAAAATTGCTGCAGATTTATTTTGGGTATAGATACAATGCAGTTAATAGATACAATGCAGTAGATTGGCATCAGGAAGCTTCTTCAGAGTTACTGTTCCCAAGACACATCCAGAGGCAGAATTTAATGTAAACTTTGCCATGTAGAATTATTACATAGCCATGAAATAAACTTTTTTGTATAAGCTGTATCATGAAAAAAGTAGACTTGCTCTATAGGATCAGTGTAAAGCTTCATCTAAAGTATGAACTTTCTAAGAAACAGCTGTCCCCTCAGTCTGACTTGTTGTTGATGTAGATTTATGGTGACTATGAAGTGTCCTGTTAGATGTAGCATTACTATAATATGGCACACTAGGAAGTAGCCCTTGTGTGATAGCCTCAACACTGAACTAGCTGTTGTGTGATAGGGGCAGGGGTCTTTTTGTAGAAAAAGAGCTGCCGGAGCTCATTAGCATAACTCATTAGAATATGCCTCACCCCCTGACATCACCAGAAGTGTGTCTTGGGGGAGCAGCAGCGCTCCCGCGCTCTCGGGAGACCCGGGGGCGGAGCTCTCTGGGCCTCCCCCGAGCCGATGCAATTCTTTTGTGCTATACTCATGTCAAGATATCAAATCCTTTTATCCCCTAGAATTTGCTTACATAAATCTTTCATTATATAAATGTAACTGATGTATCTAGGGTGAGGTTAGAAGAGAATTTGTAGAATAAAATTAAAGGCTCCCTGCAAGGAAGGGGTGCTGTGTCCTGAACAGGACATTTAATTATTGTAGTCTAGCTACAGTGAAAAGGCTGCTTTCGAGCCCCCAGAATGCCTTTCCACGGGCACCGCGGGAACCAAAGGCGCGCGAGCCATTTCACCATCCTGAACAGGATATCTTCCAAGCACCAGGCTTGCGAAACCGCTCCATCGCTCTGGCGAGCATTCGGCCGCAGCCTATTCACACGCGCCCGCGATACTGCCAGACACACCCGGGCCTGAGAAGCGGATGAACAGCTGCTCCGCGGCCCGGCAGGAGACTCGTGGGGTTCCATTTTAGCTTCAGGGAGCCGAGCTGAGGAACATTCTGGCACGAAGGAGGGGGGTCCCCTGTGCTGAACTGATCTCTCGCCTTGTCCAACCATACCCTCCGTGGCTGACAGTGCGGTGGGCCGCGAGCGCGTCTCGAGCTCGAGGCACCCCTCCCAAACCTTGGCATGGGGGGTGTCTCTGTGCCGGGAGGCCCCTGCTGTGTCCTCTGCATGACGGCGGTGATCTGCTTCCTTTCCTCCTCGCTGAGCCGGCTCAGGTCCTCCTGCACACCGACTGGAATAGAGGCCGGCCCTTGTGCCCTGCCATCCGCCGCGCTTTCGGCCCCCTCGCCCTCCAGGCTCGCCTCGTTGCCCATCCAAGAAAGGCACATCGCTCCAGTCTTCTTTGTGTCCCAGGGATCTCGGAGCAGCGAGGTCCCCTCGCGGTAGGGATGGATTGCCCCCCTTCCCCGGCTGCCGGAGAAACAGAAGAGAAAGGGGACTCCCCCGAGCCGCAGTGCTCTCGCGTGAGCTTGGAGGACCCGGTGGCAGCGCTCTCGGCCTCCCCCGAGCCGCAGCGCTCCCGCGCGGCTCGGAATACCTGGGGGCGGGGCTCTCTGGGCTTCTCCCAAGCCGCAGCACTCCCGCGCGAGCTCAGGGGACCCGGGGTGGGTGGGGCTTGCCGCCACGCAGGCTGCCGGAGCGGCGCTCCGGAGGGCTCCGGCCCAAAAAGACCCCTGGATAGGGGTGTACTTATTAAGGAGCAGGGAGAGAGTGCTGACAAAATGTGGCAATGGTATCTGCTGTACTGTGTCCAAGGTAATGTTAGGGCATTTAAATTGTGTCATTTTTTTAAAGCAGGGATTAGTTAAATTGAAGGAAGTCTTCTGAGAAGCCAAAAGTAGTTTTATTGTTGTAAAGATAAAATAGGGAGGATGTATACTAACTAGATCTCTTGCAGGAAGGATGGAATATAAATATGCGTCAGGCTCCCTGTGCATTTCACATTTTACAGCTCGCCTGCCATTGAGATAGGAGGTTCCCCTCTCTCTCTTTGATGTGCCTGGGGCTTGTCACCTTAGTGGTGCCAAATGTCCTGGCTTCTCAAATGTCTGTGGTCCTGTTTTCCTTGCTATGTAGAGACTACATGCCTATGGGAGGGGGGAGATGACTGTTAGTTCTGGTGGGCAAATACCGTGGGGTGACTGGGTCCTGAGCTTTAGTGCATTACTTGAATTCACTATATCTGCAACCTTTGCACATTCAACTTCAGTCCTAACAATAGATGTGTCCAGGATGGTATCTATCAACTGTCTCAATAAAGTTAGCTTTCTTCAAACCGACTGGTGTTGAGGACTGATTTAACCAAAATCCTGACAATATGTAGGCTGGGAGACTGAGCTGGCTCAAAGTCAACTAGAGAGTTTCATGATAAGCAGAAATTTCAACATGGAGGGTATAGACAGTTGTTCATGAGAGGAAGAGGATATTTGGACTTTTTTAAAAGACGGAACTGGTTAAGATACAGTAAGTACTCCTTTATCTGGAGCTCTTTTTTCCAAGTTGTCTAGGTTTCAGGTGAGTGTTAGGTCTTATGACATAAAGCAGAAATACAGATGAAGACAGAAATACAGATGAAGGCAAAACAGTATGCTGTGGCCCAGTTTCCAACTACAAAGGCTGACTGACTTAACAGATGGTATTTCTGTAACAAAGCTGTCTTACCATTGATAGGTACTTCCTTTATGTGGCAGGAAAGTTTGGTTTACGGTGGCTGTATTTGGTAGCCATTTTGGAAAGGCAAGCTTTATCAAGCTGTTATACTTGTAGTTTGTTTGTATCACGAGAAAGCCTTCACAGATATTGGACTGAAGAAGAGAGCTGAGATTTGCATCATAGCAATTTTGGTGGTTGGTTTTTTTTTTACTCTTCTGTCTCAGCTACTGAGATGACGGTACCATTAGGTCAGGTTTGGGGTGCTGTTGAGGGCAGCATTTGTGGCAGACTGATGGATCTGATTCATCGAATGCAACACACTAGGAGACTGTGCTGTAAAAGTCCTATTGAAATGATTGGGACTGTGCAAAGGCAGAGTAGGCACCAAAAAATCTCTGACTCTGTATTGTATTTGCCAAAGTAAAGTGCTGGATCAGAGCAAGAGTCCATCCAGTTCAGCACATTGAGTCCAAACATAGGCCAACCAGCCACTGCTGGGGAAGTCCAAAAGCAAAGCAGCGTATAAATAGTGATGATGATAAAATGTGCCTCTTGTATCAGGAGAAGACTTCTTGTACTGGAGGAAAGAACCACCACTTGTGGGAAAGGATCCAACCTGTTATTTTTTCTAAAAAAAATAGCAAGTAGTTTAATTAAAGAATGGTTCAATTTTACAGGTGCTTCAGGGTCAAGTGGCAGGACATCAGATTGCTGTAGAGAAACTGAAAAAAGCAGCTGAAGTGCTCTTAGACACCAGAGGAAAATTGCTGCCAGATAAAGAGGAGATCAAGAAAACAGTGGGTAAGTAAAATGAGTAACCATTTTCTTAATTTCCTTCTCTCGCTCATACCTTGAGACTAAATATAATGTCCTGTAGTTGTTGCATCCTGGATTCCCTTTACTTTGTTCCACAATGTGTTTATGTTTTCTATTGTTTTTAGTCCCATTGGAGGGTTTGAATTTCCCACCAAAGTGGCTATTGGTGAATGCTGGAGGAACTAGGATCCTAGACTTCTATTGTCTAGAGGACAAGCTCCTTACTGTAGGAGCCTGGTGGCGGTCCTGGTGGCGGCCCGCATACCTAACAGTCTTACCCCCAGAGTGGTGCTCTGGCGGGCTCCGGCCCCAAAAGACCCCTGGATAGGGGTGTACTTATTAAGGAGCAGGGAGAGAGTGCTGACAAAATGTGGCAATGGTATCTGCTGTACTGTGTCCAAGGTAATGTTAGGGCATTTAAATTGTGTCATTTTTTTAAAGCAGGGATTAGTTAAATAAAAAGACCCCTGGATAGGGGTGTACTTATTAAGGAGCAGGGAGAGAGTGCTGACAAAATGTGGCAATGGTATCTGCTGTACTGTGTCCAAGGTAATGTTAGGGCATTTAAATTGTGTCATTTTTTTAAAGCAGGGATTAGTTAAATTGAAGGAAGTCTTCTGAGAAGCCAAAAGTAGTTTTATTGTTGTAAAGATAAAATAGGGAGGATGTATACTAACTAGATCTCTTGCAGGAAGGATGGAATATAAATATGCGTCAGGCTCCCTGTGCATTTCACATTTTACAGCTCGCCTGCCATTGAGATAGGAGGTTCCCCTCTCTCTCTTTGATGTGCCTGGGGCTTGTCACCTTAGTGGTGCCAAATGTCCTGGCTTCTCAAATGTCTGTGGTCCTGTTTTCCTTGCTATGTAGAGACTACATGCCTATGGGAGGGGGGAGATGACTGTTAGTTCTGGTGGGCAAATACCGTGGGGTGACTGGGTCCTGAGCTTTAGTGCATTACTTGAATTCACTATATCTGCAACCTTTGCACATTCAACTTCAGTCCTAACAATAGATGTGTCCAGGATGGTATCTATCAACTGTCTCAATAAAGTTAGCTTTCTTCAAACCGACTGGTGTTGAGGACTGATTTAACCAAAATCCTGACAATATGTAGGCTGGGAGACTGAGCTGGCTCAAAGTCAACTAGAGAGTTTCATGATAAGCAGAAATTTCAACATGGAGGGTATAGACAGTTGTTCATGAGAGGAAGAGGATATTTGGACTTTTTTAAAAGACGGAACTGGTTAAGATACAGTAAGTACTCCTTTATCTGGAGCTCTTTTTTCCAAGTTGTCTAGGTTTCAGGTGAGTGTTAGGTCTTATGACATAAAGCAGAAATACAGATGAAGACAGAAATACAGATGAAGGCAAAACAGTATGCTGTGGCCCAGTTTCCAACTACAAAGGCTGACTGACTTAACAGATGGTATTTCTGTAACAAAGCTGTCTTACCATTGATAGGTACTTCCTTTATGTGGCAGGAAAGTTTGGTTTACGGTGGCTGTATTTGGTAGCCATTTTGGAAAGGCAAGCTTTATCAAGCTGTTATACTTGTAGTTTGTTTGTATCACGAGAAAGCCTTCACAGATATTGGACTGAAGAAGAGAGCTGAGATTTGCATCATAGCAATTTTGGTGGTTGGTTTTTTTTTTACTCTTCTGTCTCAGCTACTGAGATGACGGTACCATTAGGTCAGGTTTGGGGTGCTGTTGAGGGCAGCATTTGTGGCAGACTGATGGATCTGATTCATCGAATGCAACACACTAGGAGACTGTGCTGTAAAAGTCCTATTGAAATGATTGGGACTGTGCAAAGGCAGAGTAGGCACCAAAAAATCTCTGACTCTGTATTGTATTTGCCAAAGTAAAGTGCTGGATCAGAGCAAGAGTCCATCCAGTTCAGCACATTGAGTCCAAACATAGGCCAACCAGCCACTGCTGGGGAAGTCCAAAAGCAAAGCAGCGTATAAATAGTGATGATGATAAAATGTGCCTCTTGTATCAGGAGAAGACTTCTTGTACTGGAGGAAAGAACCACCACTTGTGGGAAAGGATCCAACCTGTTATTTTTTCTAAAAAAAATAGCAAGTAGTTTAATTAAAGAATGGTTCAATTTTACAGGTGCTTCAGGGTCAAGTGGCAGGACATCAGATTGCTGTAGAGAAACTGAAAAAAGCAGCTGAAGTGCTCTTAGACACCAGAGGAAAATTGCTGCCAGATAAAGAGGAGATCAAGAAAACAGTGGGTAAGTAAAATGAGTAACCATTTTCTTAATTTCCTTCTCTCGCTCATACCTTGAGACTAAATATAATGTCCTGTAGTAGTTGCATCCTGGACTCCCTTTACTTTGTTCCACAATGTGTTTATGTTTTCTATTGTTTTTAGTTATAAGCAAAGGACACATCCCAGTTAGTTTTGAGATGGAGAAAGCCAGCACCTTTTCTTCTAAACAGCATTTGCACTTTTCTCAGCTGAAGTAGCTGAGGTCAGATGCACCAAAAAATTTTAAATTATAGGAAAAAATAATTCCTAGATATTGAAAATTCTTGACTTGATCAATAACATTTCCCTTTATATTCCAACTATATTTCCTAAATGAGCTACTAAAGTGAACAATTTTAGTTTTGGAGAAATTAATTGTAAGTAGTTCAGTGTCACATTGATCACTAAATCTCTCCAAGGCTTGCTTCAAGCCAACCTTAGTTTGAGATAAAGGACGGCATCATCAGCATACATAAGGACAGGAACCTTTCTATCATGTGCAAGAATTGGAGCATGGGTACCTACTGCATGAAAGCATCTAATCAAGGAGTTGACATAGATGTTAAATAAAAAGGGGACTAATAAACAGCCTCGCCTAAGTCCTTTTTGAACCGAAGTTCTTTTTGAGAGTTTGCCATCCTGTGTAAGCCTTATCTGAAGGCTATCCTGTGTAAGCCTTATCTGAAGACCATCCTGTGTAAGCCTTATATTAATAAAAGTAATAGTCTTTTATCAATAACCATGTCAGCCAATTTAGCCCGCAGCCTTCCCCTGGGTACAGAATCAAAGGCCGCCTTAAGGTCCACAAAGGTCGCATAAATGGTGTTCTTTTGATATTTCACATTTTTATAGGTAAGATAATCTAACACCAAGCAATGATCATGGTAAAACTGGCCTGTTCAATTTTGAGTAATTTATTTTGGTCTAATCGTTTACACAGTTTTAAACAAAGATGTTTGGTATACAGCTTATAGATCACATTTAGAAGATTGATTGGTCTATAATTTGATGGATCAGATTGATTACCCTTTTTAAATATAGGTACAATTATGGCCTGATTCCAGTCCTTCGGAATTTGGGCTGAGGAGTCTATATGTGTGAACAAATTTGCTAACATTGGGCCCCACCAATCTATATGTGACTTCAGAAGCTCAATAGGAATGTAATCATTACCCGGAGCTTTTCCTGATTTCATTTGTGAGATTAATAAGGAAACTTCAGTCTCAGACACTAGAGGCCACCATGTGGTAGTATCCAGAGGTATATCAGGAAAAACAGAATATTGTTGATCTCTAAATAAGTCACCATAATACTTTTCCCACATATCTGCTGGAATGGGGTTCGAGGCATTTGGTTGTTTTAAGTTGCAAATTAGAAATAATCTTCCAAAAACCCTCATTATCTTTTTCTCTGGAGGCTTTAAAATTGGACAACCGTAGAAGGTTGTCTGCAGCTCTTTTCTTAGATTTCTTTTGTTCCTTTATATTTCTTTTTTTTTAAAGTTGTAAATCAGATTCAGTAATTAGATTTGGATTCTGGTGAAAAATCTTGAAACTTTCCCTAAGAGTTAGCTTAATCAAACCATTTTTTAGTGCCCAAGTTCATATCTTGTTTAGAGCCACCAGATCATGAGAGGAGTGGCAAAAGAGTGGAAGTTAATAAGTTATATTAATCAATTAGACAATTCTTCTCATCAGAGTTAAGAGTTAAGGCCTGCCTGAGAAGTTGACCATTAACTGATTGTGACCAGAAAATAATTTTTTCATTAATATAGGGAGACCATTTAACTCTAGATCTTCCTGTCTGCTCCAAGCATACTAACTTGGGTACTTCAGGGAAGGGCTGGCCCTTATGGAGTCCTAATGGGCTAATCCCTTTAAGAATCAAGGGTAGATGGTCACAGTCTGTTCTTATATCTACCAAAAGATCAATATAGTTATTATAGAGATCTTGCAAAATAAGGATGTAATCTATAGTTGAATGCTTTAAGCCGGACCAGTAGATGAATTGGCCTGAGCGGTCCCCTGGTAGTAGGCCGTTCAAAATATGTCATTTGAAAGAGGTATGCGCCGGCAAAGTTAGTAGTTGGATCTAAGGAAATTAAAATTAGACATAGAAATATAAACAGCCAGAATCCAGTTCCTATGAGCTGTCAGTTTCCTTATAGAGCCATTCCAAGGTTTGGATACAAAAGTGTTAGACCTCCAGAGGGTCTTCCCCCTTTTGGGCCAACCTGGGTGCAAGAATGAAATGCAAAAATTTTTTGAAGGTCAAACAAATCTTGCATCCAGGTTTCCTGAAAAATAATAATTTTGAACTGAGAAATATTTCTGATAAAGTCTTTATCCCATGTTTTAGAGTACCAGCCGGCAACGTTCCATGAGAGAAGGAAGAATGGCAGTCAATCAATCTTATCTATAGTATCCAGGATTTTCTCAGAATTAATAAAAAATACAGCTGTTAGTCAGTAGATTCTGTAGTGTCTGAATATGGGAGGTGTCCATGTCTTCATCAAGTCGCTCTTTCGGACATGACTCAGTCATCACTATAGGGATATCTGAAAGGGAATCCAGGGGAGTGTTCAGTTTGTCTGAGTCAACATGTTCATCTAAATTGTGAAGGCAGGATAATAATTCTTTCAGCCTGGTTGTTATCTCCTTCCGCTCAGATTTTGGTAAATGAATGAAAGATGCAAGTAGCTCCTTCTCTACTTGATTTTCCAAATAAGTAGCCTTCGTCGGCTGAAGAGAGGAGACATCAGATGAGGTATCACTTAAACCCTCTGCATTATAGACCCAGTCCTCAGTGTACCCAGTTTTGGCTGGAAGATGTCCAGAGAAATATTCAAGGTCTCCCCAGTTATTGGCCTGGAGTGGGGAAGGGAAAGTGTCACCCATCACAACGTGAGAATTAAGAGTGCCATCTTAAGTAGAGTTACACCCTTCTAAATCCATCAAAGATAATGGTCTTATAATTGTGTAACCTTGTATAGGATGGTACGGTAAATAACAGAGTCCTCAAATACATTAGTTAGGAACGTTAATGCCCATTCTCAGATTATAATAAGATAAAATTTTTGAGTGGCATAAAATGTAGCTGAAAGAGCAAGTTTTAATATCATTAAGAATTTGGGTAACAACACACTGGCAGAGGTATCTTTTCCCCCACTTACCCTGCACCCATAGTCTTCATGCGGTAGATGAACAGCCTCCACATCTGCTTGCATACCACACAAGCAAGTAGCCTTGTTAGTCTATTGCAGAAAACCATATAATATGTTTGTGCAAAGTTGTACACAGTTCTGTATTATTTGGTTGGCAATAAGAATTATTGCATAGCATTGTGGTTGACATAGGTGATTCACTTGAAGTCTTATGCACCCAGTTACTCAGTCCAGGAAATAAATTACTAAGGGTAGTTAGAAATCATATAAACCAAGAATTTGCACAAATAGTCCTTCATGTGGCATACCTGCATCATAGGGGGAAGGGCTGTGTTTAGTGGTAACGCATCTGCTTGGCATGCAGAAGGTCCAAGGCTCAGTCCCCTGGCATTTCCAGTTTAAAAGGGAGAGGCAGTAGGTGTCTTGAAAGACCTCTGCCTGAGACCCTGCGGAGCTACTGCCAATCTGAGTAGACAATACTGACTTTGATGGACCAAGGGTCTGATTCAGTATAAGGCAGACTCATGTGTTCATATGTATGTGACATTGTATACTAAGTGCTACCACACAAATATTGTTACTGCTCAGGTAAGTTTACATTTGTTAAAAGCACAAAGATCCTGATGTTGAAAAGTTCATACTCCCTGATGAAAGGTATCCCAGATTCCATGCCTGACATCGTCAATTACAGACGCTCAGGGAGCAAGGTTAGGAAAAACTCCTGCACAGGCCCCCGGGGTGCTGCTGTCGTCATGGTGAATCTTAAATGAATCATTGGTGGCAAATCACATCTTCATATAAGTCTATGAAAAAATCATTTTCCTTTGTGTATCTTTCAGATACTGTTGTGGACAAGTATAACCACTTGTCCAAAGCAGTCAGTGACCGGAATGAGAAGCTCCAGATCACTCTAACACGTTCTTTAAGTGTTCAGGATGGATTGAATGAGATGCTTGATTGGATGGATGATGTTGAGAAGAACCTTGAGAAGCAAAGTCAAGTGCCTTTGAATTCTGCTGCTATTCAGGATGTCATTAGTAAAAGTATGGTGAGTAACATTTTGATAGAACAAACTCTTCCTGATAAGATAAGTAGCTTCTAATTAGCAATTAATTTCCAGTGATGTTTTACAAATAATACGAAAGATGGTTTTGACTGCATCTAGTTCAAATGTACTGACATCATCAGCACTGGGGAATAGCTACTATGGCACAAAATCAAGACTTGACTTTTCAAACCTCTCAGATAACAAATGCTTCTTCTGTGGAGTACTTCTAAGATTGTGTTACCATTACTGGAGATGCTGAGATTAGGAGAACATTTGTGAGCCAGTGGGGTAAAGTGAATCTGTAAGCCCTGAGTTCAAATGCCTTCTCTTCCTTAAAGCTTGCTGGGTAACCTTGAGCCAGTCACCATCTTTCAGTCTCACCTTCCTCACAAGGATGTTGTGACAATTTAATGGTGAAGGGAAAACTGGGTACAGAGCCAGGATAAAAATGTACTGGATAGTTAGATTTGTTTACAACAGTTCATGACTGATAAGTTCACCTACCTAGAAACACAGAATTGTCATTACTGTTCTCTCAGCCTTCTTTATTTGTTGCATTTTGTAATTCAGGCACTGGAACAAGATATTGCAGGTCGTCAGAGCAGTCTCAATGCCATGAATGAAAAAGTGAACAAATTCATTGAAACAACAGATCCATCCACTGCATCCTCTTTACAAGCTAAAATGAAGGAGCTCTCTGTACGGTTTTGTGAAGCCAGTAAAAAACACAAGAAAAAGCTTGAAAAGATGGAGGGCTTGAAGTCAAAAGTGGAACTGTTTGAATGCCTCTTGGATAAACTTCAGTCATTCTTGGACAAGAAAGCTCAGGCTCTCAGTGATGCTGACATCCCAGGGAAAGATGTTACTGAAATGTCTTTATATATGCAGGTAAATTTCTACTGGTGTAACACCATCTTCTCCATGTTATTGAGTATGGTAATATAATAGTAAATGTAGCCATCACATCCACAGCTATGAGAGAACCTCCAAGTTCAGTGGGTCATGCTATCCGATATGAAGTAATTATTTTCTTGTCCCTTTTGCAGGAAACCAACTCTGAATTGGCAGAGCAGAAAAAAGATCTTGAAGCTTTGCAGCACCTTGTTGGAGAAATTTCTTCACATGCTCTCCCTGGAGACAAGTCATTAGTGTTAGAAAAAGTCAACACCTTGTCGAAGAAATTCAGGACAATGGAAAAGACTGTGCGAGAAAAGTGAGTATGGTCATGGAATTTAAGAACAGTGCATCACAACAAGGGTAGAAATGATCAGAGGTGTCAGGGTTAAAAATAATTTCTGCTGGCCAAGAATTTCTTGTGTGCCAAGCAGATGCTCTACCTCTGAGCCACAGCCCCTCCCCTAACTTTTTCAATTGAAATGACAATCAAGTAGAGATAACAATAATTAAAATAAAGATAGGAGCAAAAAAAAAAGGATTCTCACAAATTAATCTCACAGCAAAAACACCATATACTAGTAAAGGCTAGAATCAAGAGCACAACCTGCAGTGATAATCATTTGAAAAGGCCCAGACAGGTAAAACTTGCAACCAAAAAGACATCAAACAGTGCCAAGTATATTGCTACATCAAGGACTTTCCATAGATTAAATGCCGGTTGGAGTGGAAGTGTGTCCTTCGTAGATTCTCACCTCATCTCTGAGGATAAGGGGCATGTGTAGCAGAGCTTGCAGTGACCATAACTGTTGGGCAAGCATATATGGGAGCAGGCAGTCCTTAAAGCACCCTGTTGCAAGACCATTTAAAGATGAGGACCAGCCCTTTGAATTGAACCCAGAAATATACTAGTAGCCAGTGCAGTTGTTTGAGCTCAGGCAGGATGTACTCTCTTTCGAACTGACTAGCTGGTTAATGTCTTCCTCACAGTGAAGTTTTAGTTGCTTAAACTACCAATAGAATTAGTAAGAGAATAATCTGAAGCATCTCTACCCAGAAGTAAATTCTATGTTATTCAATGGGATTTACTCACAGGAAAGGGTTTTTAGGTTTGCCCTATAAATATTTCTGTTGTGATTCCTGTCGCCCGCCATTGGCGGGCCACCCGTCACTGTCCCGCCTGCAGCAGGGGCCGGCCTTGGGACTCTTGCCTATCTGGTTTCCACCTCTGTGGCAGGGCTCTAAGGGCTGAGTGGGGTTTCAAAGTTGAAGAGGGAGAAGTGGCCTCAGAAGATGGGTTGCGTCACCACTCTTCCCATCCTGGGGTTCTGGCCTCCGACCATAGCTATAGCCAATTCGGGGCTCCCCTTCTCTCTCTCTCTCTCTCTTGCCCCAGCCAGCCCAGTCTTCCTCCTCCCCGGCCGTCTCCTCTCTTTTTATTACCACCTCGTTCCCCTGCAGCTTCCTCAATCTTGGCTCTGCCCCCACCTAAAGCGGGAGATGCCAAGGCCATCTCCTCTGCCCCCATCCCTATGATGCCTGCCAGAGGGCCAGGCCTTGCCTTGCCACTTACTCCGCTCTGCCGCGGCTCTCCTGGCCCTGCGTCAGTGGGTGGATGCTCCTCCCTGCCCGGTCTGGGCTGGCATCAGAACCCCTGCTGTGGGCTGAGCCTGGCTCACCTTATCCTGCCGCTGTGGTCCGCCCTGTTCCCCAGGAGCTTCCACGTCTTCATCGTCGTCCTGGAGACGATGATGAGCCCTCCCGCCGTCTCCTCATCGCTCCGCCATCCTCTCCACTTGCCGCCTCCATCGCCCAGGTAAGTTGCGAGTCAGGGGGAGGTTTCTGGGCCACTGCCTTGCCACCAGGGGTCTCTGCTCCCAGTGAGGACCGGGACAGTTTCATCCATAATGATAGGAGCTCCTATCTAACGTATGCACAAATTTGCATACAATGCATTTAGCAGTTCTTATTGAGTTAGTATATTTTAAGTTGACATTTTACTTGTATGGGCTGGAATCCAAAGGGCTGTGTGTAGTGTCTCACATGCACACTGGGGCTTTTCATGTCCCCTGTTCCATTGCATTCCCTTGTAATTTTTCAAAATGCCGTGTCTTAAGGCTGCACCTACAAAGCAGCCTTTGATGTGATCCGAGGGAGTGCATCAAGAAGGGGGGAAATGGTAATTTCAGTGTGTATGCATGAAGGAATCTTAGGCTGACTCAGGAAACTGTTTCAGTTACAGGTGTTTATGTGTCCATCCCAGTTGTTAATGCAACTCATAAGGTCATCTTGAATCTTGAGAACTGGGAGCATGTAACATTTTCTTGTTGATTTCCATTACATAGAGAAGAAGACGTATCCTCTTGCCGACAACAAATGGATACATTCAAGCTTCATGTAGAATGTTTGAAGAAATGGATAGACGAGGTGACAGAAAGAATTCCAACTACGCAGCCCTCTTTAAATGCTGAGACTTTAAAGAAGTATTTGCAGAACACCAAGGTATGATATTTCTTGATACTTTCATAAGTAGGATTCATGGTTAAGTAATTAAGCCATGCTGTCTGATTTGATGTTGCCCTCAAAAGTAAATTCAAGAATATAATATACATAATTAAGTATATCAGTTCAATACATTTTGGGAAGTCTATAAAAAGTTAATAAGCAAATCCATTTCTGTAACTTGTGCCCAATTTTTAAACAATGATGGAACATACTATATTGCTTTTTTCAATTTTTCAAAATAAGAAATATCTACAACTCAGTCACAGATATTTGGGATTAACTGTATTTCACATTTGTAGAATTTGGAAGATGAATGGGTTTCAAAGGCACCTGAAATTCAGAAAATGGCTAGCAGAGGAGCAGTGCTATGTAACCTAATCAGTGCTGTGACTTCCCCTGCAAAATCAAGGGGAGTCAAATCAGGTATGTTCAAATGAATAAGGACAATAAGGAACATTTTAAAAATCAAAATACTGTGTGTGGATGCAAGTGATAGACTAACAAAAATAAATCATTTGTTTGAAGACCCATGATGCTTACTTGGCTCTCAAGTGAATGTTATGTCTGTGGGTACAAGGATTGACAGTCAGTAAAGGTCTTATCCAGAGAACAGGCTTACAAACGATCAGAGCCATTGGCAGTTCTGGTGTTGTCTTTACACACATCTGCATTTTAGTATGGTATTGGTGTTATTTTAGTGGGCAGAATATTCCCTAGTTTTCTTTATTTTTCTGTAATCTGTATGCAAATAGTGAAGTAGTCCAAATCTGAGGATACTTAAATACAGTGACTTGAGCTCTGAACGGACAAGAGAGATGTTTCTACAAACCTTAAAAGGGCCCTAGGTTTGCAGAAAAAAATGTGAAATCTAAAAAAAACCCCACATGGGAGGTTAAAAAATCCGAAAATTATATGAGGAGTGCCTGTAGCTTTAAGCAGTGGATTCCTCCAGTGGCTATTGCTAGGCAAGCACACAGTATTACAGGCTGGGTTTTTCTGAGTAAAAGAAGGAGGGGGGCAGGGTCATTTCTAAGGAGGTTTTGGCCTTTGAGAGAGGAGTCATTGGGGCCAGGCCTGACCAGGGTTGCCAGCTCCAGGATGGGAAATTCCTGGAGATTTTGTGGTGGAGTCTGAGGAGGGCAGGGTTTGGAGAGGGGAGAGGCCTCAGCTGAATAGAATGCCATAGAGTCCTCCCTCCAAAGTTGTCATTTTCTCCAGTGGGAAAGATCTCTGTTGTCTGGAGTTCAGTTGTAATTCTGGGCAGGGGTCATTTCGTAGAAAAAGAGGTGCAAGAGCTCATTAGCATAACTCATTAGCATAACTTATTTGCATATGCCACACCCCCTGACATCACCAGAAGTGTGTCAGAAGGCAACACCCACTGCAACCTACCTGGCTGCTTCTTGCTCCTCGTGGTCCAGGGCTGCTGGGAGCAGGGGGCGGGGCTTGTTGCATGTGCCCGCCCCCTGGGCTCTTTACTGCCGGCGCTCTGCTCCTGTGCGCTCCTGCAGGAAATGACCCCTGATTCTGGGAGATCTCCTGGTCTCACTTGGAGGGTGGGAAACCTAGGCCTGGAAACAACCTCTGGGTGACTTGATACTACTAGAACTGCATGACTCAACTAGGCCTGGCTGCTTCCTACTGTTCAACAGCAGCCACCGTATGAAAGCCAGTGTGGTGTAGCAGTTAGAGCTTCAGAGCAGGGTCTGGGAAATCCAATTTCAAATCCCCATCTTGCTGTGGAAGCTGACTGGGTGATTATGGACCAGTCTCATAGTTTCAGCCTAACCTACCTCACAGGGTTGTAAAAAGGAGGAGAGGAGAATAATGTGAGTTGCTTTGGTCCCCACTGTGGAGAAGAAAGGCAGGGTATAAATGAAGTAAATAAATAATAAATATAGCTCAAGATGGGAAGTAGATAAAAGGTAGACTGGTGAATAGCTGAGAAGGAGAGAATGAGGCAGGGGAAGGGAATAGGATATTTGGGTTGCGAGGAGAAAAGGAGGAAATAGTGCAGGAAAGTAAGGTTCACCCCCCCACACAAGTACTTGAGGATTCCCTAATGTACAAGTGGGCCTGGCCCAGTGGCTGGCACCACACAACTGAGCCACAGTTTTCCTAGGTAGAGGCCGGTTGTGGGGAGGGGGGACCCTTAAGACAGAGGTGCAGATAAAGGTAGTTTGGCTGTTTGGTGGAGGCTATTTGAAAGAGGTAGAGTTGCCAAGTCCAAGTTAGGAAATACCTAGAGATTGGAGGAGGGTGGAGCCTGGGGAGGGGTGTTTGAGGAGGAGAGGGACCTCAGAAGGATATAATGCCATAGACTCCACCTTCCAAGGCAGCCATTTCATCTAGGAGAACTAGGATTTCCAGCTCTGGGTTAGGGCTTGAGATCACCCAGAGTTACGAATGATCTCCATATAACAGACATCAGTTCTCCCAGAGAAAAATGGCTGCCTTGGAGGGTGAGCTCCATGGCTTTATACCCTGCTGATGTTGCTTCCCTGCCCAAACCTCACACTTCCAAGGCTCCACCCCAAATCTGCAGGAATTTTCCTACCTGGAGCTGGCAACCCTAAGGTAGAACTGATCTCTGTAGCTGGGAGATCTGCTGTTATTCCAGGAGTTCTCCATGCCCCACCTGGGGGTTGGCAACCCTAGAAAGAGATAAGGAAGCAGGAAGAGGAGAAAGGCTGTGGGAGCTTTCAAGAAAGGGAAAGA